CATCCATATCATTTTTGTTGTTGTTCAAACCAATGAACAGTAGAGCCCTTTCAAGGCAACTCCTATGTCCTTCTGTTGCCTTTTGTCACGTATACATTAATATTTGAGTACTTCCTGTTTTCTGGCCTAGTAAGATGCTCTAGGCTTATCTTGTACTTTCCTTGGCTGGTACCCAACTACTTCTCCAAAGAGCTAAATTATTTAGAAATCAAGATCTGGGTAATTTTCCTTAAACTGCATATAATCCAGAGAGAGTTAAGAGCCATTAATCATTTGCTTAAGATCCCCTACCCATGAACTTCTGCTAAAATATTCCCATAAAGGCATTGGGAGTTCAGAAGTGGGAAGGAAAGGACCAGTGAGAGGAAGAGGTCGTCGGAAGTCAAGGTCTTGGGGCTTTGGACCAGAGGTGGCACAGTGATGTAAAAGATGACGTGCCAGAGACCAATTTAGATTATGTTGGAACTCTGGGGAAGACGACAGAGCCTGAGAAAATGGTTTCTGCATTTTTTCCAGGTAGACTCTGAAAACATTGGTTGCCCTTTTTTAGTATCCGGTAATGCTCCAAGATTGTTCCCCTGAGCTATACATATGCTAATTTTTAGAGCAATTTGAGAAATACAGGTTTCATCCTGAGAGTTCCTAAGTGCTCTACATTTTCAGTCAGTGTGACATATGTAGAGATTAATATATATTTTACCATATCTTCTAAAAATTAAAATTCATAATTTTTTGAGTACTCAGTTGAATGTAGTATCTGAGTTTACTTGCTGATTATAATATTTGGTTGCAAATATTAAAAGTAAAAATGTGCAGCATTTTAGGCAGCAACTTGTGAGATACAGAAACCAAGAATTTTGAAGTTATTTTCCAAAGTAATCAGCATGCATCTGATGAAATGATAGCATCTTGATAGCGTCTCTGAGGGAGATCTTGACCTTGAACTGGCTGACTTTTCTGGAACTCAGTATCTCCTCTGTGCTCTATTTTTATTTATAATAGCATAATTAAAATGATCATTTGCCTATTCTCTTCTTTCAAACAGAACAAAACATGATGCAGTAGCTTTTGTTTCCATTTTATAGGGAACCTATGAAAATGCTTAAAAATACACAAGCAGATTTGAAACAGAAGGGTTTTGTTTTTGTTTGTTTTTTTTTATGGAAGTCAGTATTTTTGGAAGTAAAAAGAACACAACAAAAAAGCAAAGACTACTACCTCTATGCTTGGTGCAGCAGGAATATGGTTATTTTTCAGATGTATACACTGAATGTTTCAGATGCTTTGTAATATTATGAAACAAAACCACACATACACAGACTTTTAATCCACAGTACTTTTGGGGAATGGAGAGCTGTAGGAAAGCAACTGCTCTGTACGAAATAGGTGCTGGCTGTATGGTACCTGAGGAAGGTTAAACTGAACATGGAAAGGCATACATGATCTAAATTCGCTGCTTAGCAAGCATAGGTGAGTGAACTCCGGTGTGTGGGGGCCAGATTGTCCCAACTTGTCCCTTGACTCCTGAGGACCCTCACCATTCAGTTCTCACGTGATGTTAGCATATGGGGTTAAACCAAGCATACGCATGACTAAAAAGTTGCCGTTTTGGGCAAATGGATTATTTGCAAAGTCAAATTTTGTCATTGTCAGGAATATTTTAATGTAACTGAGGTCTGTTGGAGGTCATACAAATCAGTTTCTCTTTTCTTACTTTCTGTTTAAAACTGAGCATTCATCCTGATGCCCAAATCCACCCCTTCTTATTATATGTCCTTAATCTTGGTCTTGTTTGAAAGGAGCTGTAGCCAGAACACAATTTCTTCATTCAGAACAAAATTTCCTTCAGACATTAAGACAGCTTGAACAGAATTATATAATTAAAAAATCTTTCATCTGTATTTTGCTAAGTCCATGATTGTTTTAGCCAGTAAAAGCAGATTATATATTGGACGCTGTAATGGATTTATATATTTTTCTGGGTTGCCCTTGAACTGCGAGACAGAAACTGTATATTTTTTAAAAAAAAGATTTTATTTATTTCGCCCTGGCTGGTGTAGCTCAGTGGATTGAGTGTGGGCTGTGAACCAAAGTGTCGCAGGTTCGATTCCCAGTCAGGGTACATGCCTGGGTTGCAGGCCATGACCCCCAGCAACTGCACATTGATGTTTCTCTCTCTCTCTCTTTCTCCCACCCTTCCCTCTCTGAAAATAAATAAATAAAATCTTTCAAAAATATTTTATTTATTTTTTTAGAGAGAGGGGAAGAGAGGAAACATCAACGTGTGAGAGAAACACCTACTGGCTGCCCCTCACATGCCCCCACTGGGGACCTGGCTCCATCCCAGGCATGTGCCCCTGACTGGGAATCAAACCAGTGACCTTCCTGTTTGCAGGCCAGTGCTCAGTCCACTGAGCCACATCAGCCAGGGCAGAAACTATATACTTTTAAGGGTTCCGTCATAAGACTGGATCTGTTTGTACTCATGGAGAAAGCTTCTGGTGTCCTTGTTCCTGGGCTGATCTTCATTCTGTTGTCTAGATTCTTATGTGAAATTAAAGTGGGGATAAAAAGAGGTTTTTCCACCAAATGCTTTAGTCTTTCTTTTATATAGCATATTGTTATTTTTAATTGTAAAAGTAGATTACTGTGGAAAATTTGGGTACCACAGGGAGATGCAAAGAAAGTAAAAACTATTCTACTCTACTTCTATTACCCCAAATTAGCAGCTATTCAAATGTTGACTTTTTTTACTTCTGGTCTTTTTTTAAAGATACAGATACTTTTAAACAAAGTTGGTACCATATTGAACACATTGCATTAGAGTCTGCATTCCCAATGAACACTGCTTAAATGCATTTTCCCATTTAATATCTTACAGATTTTAAAAATCTGTTTTTTTTATTATTCAGTGCTTCAATTTTTCAAGTTGTTTGAAATGACTACTTATAGTGGAAAACTTCTTAGTACATATCTTTATGTGTATGTATATCTTACATTTTTAAAAGGGTAAATTCAGAGTCTTTTAAAAAGTTTATTAGTTTAAAGGAATTAAAAGTAATTTAATTCAGCTTGTCCTTTCCAGCAGTTATGGTTAAGCCTTCTTATATGCAAGAATCTAACTTTCCAACACCAGCATCTCAGCCTTTATAGACTGGTGCAGTAATAACACCTGAATAACATCAGTAAGGAACTTCTCATGAAGACATGTTTCACGAAACCAAAACTGACACTTAAGGGTCCATACTTGGTAATTGTGAACATTGTGAATGAGAATCTTTCTAAAATTGTATTTCATATGCTGCTGTTCCCTTTAACATCATGAAAAGATTTGAAGAATCAGAATTTAACCACTTCTGCTTTAAATCACAAGCATCCTTACAAACACTAGTTACTGTACAGTCAGTTCTGCTAAAATATGATGTATGCATTTCTAAAAACCACCAGGCTGTGCAAAATCATGCAGGAAAACCCACAACACTTACGGGGTAAATAGAGTCAGGGACACAGCACTTGAAAACCTTTAGCAGTGTTCACTAGTGATAACATTAAAAAGTTAGATAAGAACTGAATAAAAATTGTAGCACAATTTTACACATATGAGGTGGTTAAGGAATATATAACTGTGGCACTTTACCTTGAAAAAGCCTGACCTTTCTTGGGGACTAAGGACTTGGAAGGGTTGCAGCTTGTGGGTTATTCTCAAGTGGTGGAAGGAGGGTTGGCAGGGAAGGTGGGGCTCCCGATGAGGACAGTGTGGCTCACAGCGCACTGGTGGAAATAGTTCGCTGGTGCAGGTTTGCTGCACGGGTGTTTGCATTGCCTGTGTCCTTATGCAGCTGGGTCCTGCCTGGGTGCAGTCTTCTGCTGTTACCTAGTGTTGCTTGCAGTGACATCATGCATAAATGTGTGAAATTCAAGTCATGCCCAAATTGTTTCCTGCCATATGAATCCTGGAACAAGCGCAAGGTTCACAGCAGAATCAAGTACACTATGGTAAAACGGTGATGTGTGGGCGATATTCTGCTCGTCTCTGTGCTGCAGAGTTAGTGCATGTGAAACAGGAGAACCTAGCCTGGGAGTCCACACGTATGCGTATTGGCAGCAACACTGCCACTATAATAAAAGATGCCTATTGATGTTTCTGGGATTCTGTCTGCTTTCCAGTTACGACTGCCTACCATAGCAATTCCTTCTGCCTTCATCTGATTGACCTATTTTCAGCCTGTCATGGTTCACAGGTGACTTTATTATGCTTCTTAGAATTCCATGTAACATAAGGCCCAGAATGGGAGAGCCCAGACTTGAGGTTATGGTTTACCCACGGCATCTGTTTTACCTACTCAGTTTTTGTAATCTGTGAATGAGTTATTACCTGTTCATCCACAGGGTTGTTGGGGAAGTAAACTTTTGTTTTAAGTGAGGTTATTACTGTCATGCGGAATTTTTGGATTTTCTGTTTTCTTAGAAAAAAGGGAATAGGACTCTTCTTATTCCCACCTGCTGCAGCGAAGGGTGCTTAAGTGAAAACATCTGAAGGGCATTGAAGAGCTGTTGATTTTCTTGAGGTCACTGTTCCCTTCTATCACAACTGCCTCTGTGTTTGTGAGACGAGCTCGCCTGTGGAGAGTGGGGTGCACAAGCGTGATTTCGGAAGACCTTCCCTCCCAAGTCAGTGTAATTAGAAGTCCAGATCCTCCCTCGGTTGCTTTTTATGAGTCCCTGAGAAGGACATTTTTACTGTGAACGGTTGCCAAGAAGTCTTGCTGATTCCTGCTTTAGTAACTTTAATAAGACAACAGATCAAAATACCGTCTAGATTTAGCAAGCCTCAGTTAGCGTCCGAAAGAAAGGTAGCTAATGAAGCTCATCATTTAGATATTCCAGCGAAATCTGTATTTTAATTATGTAGTGAGAATCTGAATGGCTATGGGTGTTTTGATGTTTAATTTCCAACCTGACTTTGAGTTTTGATTTTTGTGTCTCAATTCCATTTTCAGATATACTTGGCCTTGCCCGACCTCATTGAGTGATTACTGGTGACAAAACTTTGTGGGAAAAGGGAACTTGTCTTCTGAGCTTTGTACCAAAGACCTGGGCAAAGTAAGTCATCTTCCAACTTGCTTTAAAATGAAATTCTGTTATACTTCTCTCAGGAAATTAACAGTGGTTCTGTAGCCTTTCCCCTTCCTTTCCCTCCTGGCTTCGTAGTTTTATGTACTCTTATGGATTTGAAACATGGAAAAGGACTCAGACCTTTTCCAAAACCTTCTAAAGAGGCTTGGATGACTCTCTGCCTTGTGGCATTTCTTTGGGGCTTCAAAAAGTGAATCCTCAAGGCTGTGATAAAACCTTTTATTTGATGTGCAGTAGACGGATTAAACTTGAAAGATAAGGGAATGTAATGTGGTGTGACAGAAAAGTGAGTCCAGTCCTTTGACCTTCGGGTGTTTAGACTTTATACAGGCTCTTTGGTTCTGAATTTTTAGAAGAGTAGCGAAATCCGTTGAATTCTTTTCTTGCCTGGAAAGGAAAACAAAACATAGAGTCACTTGTTTAGTAAGTTCCTTCTGTAGCGTGGTCTTGGAAGATCTAATGCACCTGTCACTTTATTATTTTATACCTTTTTGAGGTATTTTAAGATATGCTAATTGAGACATGCATGAATGATTTTGCTCTCTTTTAGAAAAAGTTGCTCGAGGCTATAAAGTTCAATTTTATTCTCTGATCTTTTCGAAAGATAAAACGGGCTGTAAAGATAACAGTCAGTCTGCTTTGCTGCAGATACTACGCTGTGCTACACACACGCCTCCTTCCTGGCCCGTTCCAGAAATGGTATCGTTGGTGATGGGAGCTGCTCACCCATTTAATTACTAGAGAGTTTTCTAGACTTCTGGGCCTTGCGTCTTATAGTTCCTCTGCATTTCTTATAGTACAAATGAGCTGGTTGAAGCATGGCTAAAATAAAGCAAGGCAGAAAATAACTTTGCTCTAGAAGTCTAAAAGCATTAAATAATAAGATAGGATTTGATCAGATTTTAGTGCTATATTGTATTCACTATAAACATAATTAAATTGTGTATTTTATAATAATTATGATAATAAAGTAAAGGTCTTTAATTATGAATCCTATTTGAAGTTTAAGATTTTATTTATTTTTTCCTTTAGACAGAGGGGAAGGGAAGGAGACAGAGGGAGAGAAACATCATTGTGTGAGCAAGAAACAGTTGCCTCTCACACACCCCCAACCGGGGACCTGACCCGCAACCCAGGCATGTGCCCTGACTGGGAATTGAATGACCTTTTGGTGTGCAGGCTGGCGCTCAATCCACTGAGCCACACCAGCCAGGCCTGAAGTTTAATAAGATATTTGTGCTGAAAAAATATTATACACACGCATACAGTGTACATACACCACAAATATAATTTTGGAGTGCTGTCAGGTCTCTGCTAATACAAATTCTCTGAAAGGAAGGACTTTGAAATTTTTCTCCGGAAACAGTTAATTTGTTACCCTGAAATACTGTAGTAGTGAAATACTGTGGGCAATGGAATTTTTTTTAAGTAATACCAATTTTATTTAAATTGTGTAGCCTCATATTTGCATATTAACCTTAAAATAAAGGAAATCTTGTGTGGTGCGGTTATTATTTTAAGTTGGAAGGATATTTGAAAGAGGATCATGTCGGAAGTCACCAGTCTGTTCACAGAACAGAATGAAAAGGACAGAAGATGAATTCTCTGGGCTTTGGGATCCAGATACTTGCAGCGGTGTTTAGACTGGAAATACAACCTAGCCTTAGAAAGAAAGCTCCTTAAACTGCCTTTCAAATAATTTAGCATCTCCTGAAAATTTAATAGTCTCTGGTGAAATATTTTCCTTCCATTATACCAAAATATTCCCTTTATGACAATGTTACAAAAGTAATTTTTCCATTTTGTAGAGGCAAGATGTCGGTAGGACTTTCACTCACAACAATGAGCACCAGACTGACAGTGTGTTGCCAGAGGGACCATGGCACATAGATCTCTGCTTATTAAACCCGCTGTCACAGATGAATATTTATATGCACCAGAGGATGTCCATTATTCACCTTTAAGCTAAAAAGTAGGAGAAGAAGGTTATAGTGTGTGAGCATGCTCCACGTAAATCTGGCTCTGAAGAAACAGTTGTGTGGCAGTAAACACTAAGGGGGAAGGAGGGAAGTCCTTTCTGAAATGTCCGCGTCACGAGAGGAGGTTCCTGACCTACCTGGTACGTCAGGGTGTTGGTGACTGATTTCTTTTGAGGAGGCAGGGGTGTAGTTCCAGGGAAAATTCAGAGCCATGACCTTCACACTTCTGTTTACCTCCTTTTGTCCTCCACTTCTATTTTTTTCTTAATTACAAATATGTTTTCAATATCTTTCCTGTTTCAAGCATTTTGTCTAGTTATTTCAGGTGGATTTCAGGAAACTTGAGTCTGTAATGTCTGCAAACTATAAGAGGCACTTTTGAAAATTAGCCATGGATTGTTAAGAGGTAGAATACAGCTTCTATGTTATTGCCTTATTTCAATACATATGTATTTTTATGTTCATACTGAAAGAGTAGTATATGCTATGAATTGTTTGGTGTCTTGTTTTTTTCCCCCTACGTAACAATACACGATGAACTCCTATGCTAATATTTATGTTCAATATCATTTTTAGTGAAAACAGAATTACTGATCTTAGCTTTTTGTGTAATTTGAGGATATCCTGGCTCTTAGTTGTAGAGGAGTAAAATATGGGAAGAACATGGTGTAGGTTTTTCATCTGCCGACAGAGAACAGTCCACGGTTCTCCTTCTGTGATCTCTACAGTGTTTACTGTGACCAGGTGGCTTCTGAATAGGAGGCTGAATATCTGCTCAAAATTGTAGGTGTCACCGTCTGACAGGTACTATGGATAAAGCACTGTCTTCTTTGGTCCCTTTATTATATTACAAGCGTGCTGGTGACACACTCCTCCCGCTTGGCTCTGTCTTCGTCAATACTTCTGTGCTTCAGGAAGGATCCCATCTGCATATTTCTTCCTCACAGGCAACTCTAAGTATTTCAGATAAGACGGGTGCAGAAGGGATCTGTAGGGATTTCGTAGACTTCAGAATATAATGCATTGGAGTAAATTGCAGTTCAAATTAATGGAAGATGCAAAATATCTTATATACCTTTGCATACTTTCTCAATTTTAAGTTAATTTATTAAGCCAACATCTGTTGAGCAACTACTATGTGCCAGGTTCTATGTTAGGAGCTCATTATTCAAAGATTAATAAGATGTGCTCTTGCTTTCAAGAAAATTAAGTTTTAAATTCAGAGCTCGAATAACACTTATTCAGCATGTACCATGTGCAAGCAGTGGTCTGGCTGTTCTTAGATGAGGTGTTTGGCCACTAGAATTCAGCAATGGTATTTATTAACTCATCTCCTCCAAAAGCAGTTATGAATAGCTTTTTCTAATCTTTAATTTTTTTCTTCCATTATATTTTATTAAACATTTAGTACTTGCTACTAATTGTTAAATTAGCAAATGGAAAAAAATTAAACAAATAACAGCATTTAATTGATAAATTTAGAATGATGATTTTAGAAACATGTATTTATGTGTGTATATGTATTATACATACATAAATAACATCTTTTATAGATAGAAACCTGTATACATATAACATAGTCATAATTTCTCCTACTAAAGTAGTTCTTAGTTTACATGTACAGTTAAATATATCAAGATTTATTTTGTTTTGTTTTTGTAATGTTTTATTTTCTTTTATTTTCTAAAGTACATGCAGATCTAATGGCATTCTAATGGCATTCTGCCCTTGGTGTGGCTGCACTGTCTGAACAGTATGGAAGCCACACATTACAGCACTTAATTTTCACAGTAATTCTTGGCATTAGGGATTACCGAACCTTGGGGGAGGGGAGGAAGTACACTGCTCACGTTCACACAACTGGAAAATGTTGGAGTTAGGATTCCAGTTTCTATCCATTCAACTTTCAAGCTCACACAGTGTCCTCCTAACCCCGGGGCGCTGGCGGGGAAGGTGGGCTCACAGAGGCTCAGGGCCTGCCGAACTTGGAGCAGCCTTTGCAGCTGAGGCATCTGGAAGTGTGTGTGCTGCACTGAAGAGCTGGTGGTGATTAGACGTGAGGGCTGAGTCAGAAGACAGAAAAAAGTGGGGGGAATAGCTGGGGCAACAGGAAGAGCACGTGCCAAGGCATAGAGGAATGGGAGCTCCTGCCATGTGCAGAGAGAGGCTGGGGTGGGGCATGTTGGAGGGCATGGTGGACTCAGGTTGCGAGGCCCCAGCTCTGAGGAAGGCCCTGTGTGGGCCGTACTAGAGACTCGAGGTTTCTAAGCATGATGTAGCCGGAAGAGTTCTATGATAGAAGAGGTTTCATGATCCGAGGAGAGTTTTACAATGATCACTTGGGTGGAGGTCTGCAGTACAGACCGAAGAAGGGAAGACTAGAGGCACGGGGCTGCCGTGTGGGGCTGTGCGGGTGGTTCACTGCACACAGGTGTGTGTGAGCGGTGGGTGGTGGGACTGGTCACTGTCTGGCTCATCATTCACCAAGCTGTTTGCTCTTGGGATTGGGCCTGCCTAGGTAGGGCTGGCACCTTTAAAAATATTCACAATAAGCAGCTTTACTTACCTCTCAATGGCTTATAAAGTAATAGGAGGGATTAGATAAAGACCTAGCCATGTACCCTGAGGCTTGAGTCTGGAGGTGGACACGGTGGTCTGTTTCCTAACTGTGATGTTGGGCATGCTCCTCATTCTCTCAAAGGCTGTTACCTCATCTTTAGGGGGGGTTGATAACAGGATGTAGCAGGGCCCTGGACGGAGCAGTTAAGGGTCCTTGGTAAGAAAAGGAGCTAGACAGGCACGATGGAGAAGGAGCAGGGACTGGAAGCTGCTCCAGGCAGTCAGCCCTGAGAGTGTCCTGAGGGCTGTATGAAGAGTTTTATATGTTTTATCTTTTTTAATCCTATATCACTTCTGAGAGGTAGGTGTTATTGCCTCTTTTGAAAGATTTTGAAACTGTGGTTCAGGTAGGTTAAGTAACTTGTCTAA